TCAGAATCCTCTCCGGAGCTGACTCCAAGGGCTCAAAGGGGGCTTTCGTCAAACCCTCTAAGACAACAGAAAGATCCCATGGGGGAACTCTAGGGGAGCGAGCCGGTTTCAGGCGCTTCACCCCACGCATGAAGGCAGAAACTAACCTTAATTTGCCCAGGGGAATCTCATCCGATTCCCTATGCGCTGCAATTAGCCGCGACATAAACTCTGAGAGTGGTAGCGGCTGCTCCAGCAGCAAACTTCTCCTGCAGGAATTCCAGTACTGAACCAGCAGGGCAGTTAACTGGGCTCCTATCATGTGCTAAGCACCAAGTCTCAAACACCCTCCATTTGGAAGAATATAATCTCCTTGTAGAAGGGGCTCTAGCACTCGCAATGGTCTCCTGAACGTCAGTTGGGAGACCAGAGCTTAATGCCGACGGCCTCTGATCGGCCAAACATACAGCTTCCACATGTCTGGGCGAGGATGCCATATCCTGCCCTGTAGCTGGGACAGAAGATCTTCCCTGACCGGGATCCTCCAGGGGGAAGATTCCAGTAGAGGAATTAGCTCCGAAAACCATGGCTGAGATGGCCAGAACGGAGCTACCAGGAGGAGGCGGACTCCGCTCTCTCTCACTCTGGCCAAGACTGCCTGGATCAGTTTGATGGGCGGGAAGGCATAGAGTTTCTGCGTTGGCCAAGGGTGAGCGAACGCATCTATCCCCAATGCGCACTTACTGTGTGGGTCGTCGTTAGCGATGTAACGAGCACATGGCGAAGTACAGCGTCTGTAATCCATGGCAACTTCACCGTAAGGAGAAACAGAGTTCCGCTTGAACAGTCGCAGAAGCGCCGAGAATAATCCAGATGTATTTGTAGCTCAGAAAAATCACGAGCGAAGGGCAACGTGACCGCTTCGCTCTGAAGGTAGAGAAATCTGAGGAGCAGATGGCGCGCGCGCGAATATGTAATGATGCGACGTAAGAGCGTCGGGGCGGAGCCATATCGCGCGGACGCCATCAGCCAATGAATTGGCGTGATTCTATAAGGCTTCAGACAATCGGCACATTCAGAGAATATCCCACTGCGCTTTCCGCAGCGTTGAGTGAACCTATGAAAGAGAACAGAGCTGTTTTTGACCAGGTAAAATAAGTGTTTTCTTACAATACTAATGAGAATTTTTAATTATAGTATATTACAAACTTTTAATTTAGACCCTAAAGAATCATATTAGCTTGTACAAAAATGGCATTATATGACCCCTTTAATGTATTTGGTCTTGACTAACCTTGTTACGCTGCTGAGCAAGTATGGACTTGCTACTGCTAATAGATACACAGACACACTGCTGTGAGAATGTAAGATATGCTGCTGCTGCATGAATAGACATACATTAATATCCTGTAGCAGATGGCTTAAGAAAGATTTGGAATATGTGCGAGTTGCATGGACTACTTTAATGGTCGTTTTATGATACTTTCCCTCCTTTTTGGACCTTGACCATCAACTTTCTTCTCAAGGGGAAACGCAACATTAACATTTATCATTTTCCTTACACTAAATTTGTACAGTTTTGAAACGACATGAGGGGGAGTACATGACAGCCTTTTTTATCTCTGGGTGCACTGTTCCTTTAAGAGCACAAACAGGGTCAATTGTGGTTGCGGCTGTGTGTGTGTGTATTTTGCGTTAAGTATACTTGGCTCTTGTATCTGACAGGCTCTTGGCATCGCAGCTGAAGAATTCAGAGGCCAGAGTCCAGCTGGGTCTCACGTCACACACAAACATATATACACAAAGATGTAAACACACACTTCTCCTAAATGACCCGTCTTCAAGGACGTTCTGCTTTAGCTTGCGCAGTTTTTGTCCTGTTTTAGCTCTATGCTCTCAAATACTGCATAGATACTACCCTGGTGACCCCCCATATGGCCAGTAGAGCATCTCTCCCTCTCTTTCTTTTTGTCTCTCTGGTGTCTGTGCTGTTATATATAGCTGAAATCTGTGCACTTATGGACTGAAATGCTTGCTGTTCCTGGAGTGCAGAATCTGCCAAAATGACACAGTTTATCTTCATTAAGCACAAAGAGTTATCTGCAACAATCCACTGTACACACACACACACACACACACACACACACACACACACAGAACATGTAAACACAAGCGCCAGGCGCGACGCAAGTGCTTTTTGCTAGTTTCAGCCAGACGCAGTTATCATTTTCATGTCCTGAGCTGGTCTGAAACCGAGGTGTGTTCAGGCACATTGATGGCGTGTTGTTATTTTGAGGCAACTGAAATAGACTGCACCATTGACCAACAAAAACCTGGTCTAAAGTCAATGGCGCAATATTGTTTTTGTTTTTTAAAGAGGCCGCGTTAGTGATATGCGCCTATAGGTGGGTCCACAACGCGCGTACACTTTGTCCCGTAGATGGTCTGCTCGCCTCGCGCGCTTTAACCTCGCGTTCAGTTTTTCCACATGCAAATTCCACATGCATGGCGCGAGCACAAGTGGCTTTTAAAGGGAATGAAAGATGAGACTCTGATTGGTTTATTGCACGTTACGCCCAAAACACACCCATTACTCATTAAGAGAATATGGGCAACCCTTTTAGACCATGCGCCGTGTGCGCCGACCATTTTTCCTGTCGTTAAACTAGCAAAAGTGGATAGATCGTTAAAAAAGGGCCCTTTCTCTTTATCTCTCACACTCATCCTGAAAGGACCTTTTTACCTTTCACAGTGACTTAACTACATAATAGATCTCAGATTATTAAATAAGCCAATTACTTCTCGGAACACAGGCGCGCACACACACACACACACACACACACACACACACACACACACACACACACACACACACACACACACACACACACACACACACACACACACACACACATTTATTAATTCATTAGTTCATTGGGGAAAAACACAGGTTAAAGAGCTTGCATTAATTCAGTTAATTCAGGGATTCCCACACTTTTTTGTGGTCAGACACCTTAAAAAAAACACCCAGGAATTTTAAGTTATATTTCATTAATTTAACAACACATTCTTATGTTCATGGTTCTCTGATGTCGATCACATGACATACAGGTAAACAAATAAAATGTGTTTTCTTTAGATTTTGTATTATTATTTTAATTTGACATTTTTAGCATTAGCTCATTGTAACAATAAAGATCCTAAATCTTTGAGTACTCATTTAATTCATTTAACACATTATTAATAATATTTATTTACTCATTCCTTCAAATGTTCTTGTTGTGAATCTTTGAAGGTTCATTCAGTTCATTTGTTCATTCACTATCTCATTCACTCAATCAATCATTTATAAACATTCTATTTATTAAGATTTTTTTTTATAGGGCTACACGGTTTGGGGGAAATATAATTGTGATTTTTCAGATTTACTGAAAATTAAACATTTTGTAAATATTATTATTTTTTTGCTTTTTTGTAGGGCTGCACTATTTGGACAAATATGTAGTGATTATATATATATATATATATATATATATATATATATATATATATATATATATATATATATATGATTATACAATAATAATTATAATTAGGGCTTTATTTGAACCATCATGAATCCCCAAATAATTCTATCATTTCTTTTACTCACTCACTCACTCATTCATTTTCTTGCTCATCCATTCATTCTTTGTGTCCATGAGACTCTGCTGACACATCAGATAATGGAGGGGTTTGGTGGAGAGCTGGAGGACAAAGTTGAGAGAGAGAGAAAGACCCTATATCTCAAACCACTCAACCATTACTGCCCTTAAGATGGGCTGGATGGAGCTCGCATTAGTTACACACACACACACACACACACACACACACACACACACACACACACACACACACACACACACACACACACACACACACACACACACACACACACACACACACACACAGTCACGGCACATCAAACGCCTCCAGCTGATGTGATATACTCTAGAGACTAAAGCAGGTGGGGAGATCGGTAAGTAAAACAGCAGATGAGAGAGGTGTGTTATCTTGCAAACTTACAAAACAGACCTGGGGTCGATTTCATTAAATGTTTTGACTAGTCTTACAAGTTAGTTATCTAATTTTTTTTCTGGCCATACAAACAAGTCTGGCTATATTTTTTTTAGTCAGTTACATGAAAAGGCACATGTAGATTAGTCTAATTTGAGTCTGAAGAGTAAGAGTGAATAGCCCTAACTAACTGCTAGTAGACTAGTTCTCAAGAAACAATCTTAACTTGAATGCTATGTTTATAGTTTATGCATCTGGCCCCTGAATGCTGCCTCAAATCCTGTGTGCTATTAATATTCGATGGCCTAATGGTCTATAAAACAGGCAAAACAATCAGATTTACACTGAAGGAAGGACTCGAGCCATATCAAGAGTTTTGACTTGGGCCACTAAGCGAGGAACTAAGCAACCAACTAGCAACCACCCACAACACCCAAGTAACCACCTAGCAACACCCTAGTAACCACCTACAATACCCTAGCAACCACCTTGCAACAGCCTAACAAACACTCACAGTTAGTTTTGCACAGGCAAAAACACTACAGATGGAAATCGTAAGGAATTGCACTATTCTTGTTCCAAATCTGATTCCTCACTCTTAACAGTTTTATTAATGAAGTACATTTGAGGAAGAAATACTTTAGGGGTAAAAATAAATGCTGTTAATATTGCATTTACTGCCCTCATCAGTTTGTTTCCAAATGCTGAGATAATTTTAGACTACTCAAAAGAGTAGATCAAATGAATCTGAAATAAATGTAACCTAATTCTTATCTTTCATATCTGACCAGTGCGAAGGAGATGGACAAAAACATCTGTATAGGCCCAGTGTGCTCTCACTGCACAGAGTACAGACATCTTACAAAGCACATGTGCTGTAGGGATCTGTCCCATGATGAGCAGGAGCACTGGTCTCCTGTGACTCTCAGACGTCCGCAATGAGAGGGGAATAATGGAGCTCTTACTGCTTTGGACGCTGACGTAGCTGGTGGCGTTCTCTCTGCCCAGCGAGTTCTCCGCCACACAGGTGTAGTTCCCAGAATCCTCCTGTCTCACTCTGCTGATGTGAAGCTTTGAGTTTTTCCTGCACATAAACAGCCAAGACACAAAGAAAGAGAGACATGGAAAAAACGTAAGGGTATGCGAAGACAGAAAACTACAAAAACCCAGAAAATGGAGAAAAGGAGGTAAAGAAAAAGAAAGGCTAGCAAAAATGCAAAAAGTCCGAATTTCCAACGCCCTGTTTGGAAAAGTGCAATGGAACGGCACTTTGGAAACTGGTTTGGAAATCCCAGCAATTCTGCCAAGATCACACACTCATGCCAGCACACAAAACGAGTTAAAGGAAAGCAAAGTTGCATCACATGATATAAAACCTGTTTACCAGTGCATAGGTTATCGTTTCTATTGATAATCCTACACCTGACAAAATGTCGCATTAACGTGTCGTGTCATTATACATAATCTGAGCATTGGACTGAACACTATTTAAACTATTCAAAACTTTTGTGCAATGGAAAGGTTCCATGGTGTTTAAGGTTCATCATGGAACTATAGATGATAATAAAGATTTGTAGAAAAATCCTGAAAAAAAAGTATCACAGTTTCGACAAATATATTAAGCAGCAAAAAGTGTTATTAACATTGATAATAATACATTTTTCTTGAGAGTCAAATCAGCATATTAGAATGATTTCTGATGCTGAAAATTCAGCTTTGCATTACATTTTAAACTGTATTTAGCACAAAAACACATCGAAAGCATAATACAATTCTTTAACTTTATACTTTCTCATCAACTAAAATTGGACATTTTGGACAAAATGGATTATTAATGAAATGTCATGAGGAAATATTGACTAAATTTAAAGGATTTTTTGTTCAAAATAACATTTTACTGTATTTTTTGTCAAATAAACATAGCCTTGGTAAAAATATCTTAGTGACCCCAAACTTAACTTTTTAACGGGACACTCATAAAAATAAATGTCCTTTTAATGGCATCTTAATTTCCACGAAGAACCTTTAACATCCATTGAATCTTTCCATTGCACAGAAGGTTCTTTAGACTACTAAAATGTTTTTGACACTAAGAAAAGAATGGTTATTTTAAGAACTGTTGACTGAAAGGTTCTTTTGGGAAACCAAAAATGGTACTGTATCACTGTGAAAACCCCTTTTGAAACCTTTATGCATACATGTAGTGTACTTTTGTGTAGTGTACATTCATATTTATCCATTTAGCAGATGATTTTACCCCAAGCAACTATCAAATAAGGATCATAAAAATTAAGCAATAAAGCTTTTATGGTTGAAACTCAGAGATACAGAGTAGGAATTTCCCACAGCTAACTTTGGATGCAAAATTCAGGCTAGGATTATAGGTTTAGGCCTGCCGTTTTGATAGGAATGTTGTTCCAGGACCAACAAAGGATGTCGGTCCAGGAATCTGTCCTGCTTGGCTTCATCACATCGTGCGTGGGGTCTCTAGTGGTGTCACTGTGATCTCTCAGCCCTTCTCCTCAGGTCAGCATGTGGACAGCTCATTAGAGGAGTAAAGCTCTTGAAGGATCACATTCCGGAGCAGAACGCACAGAAAATGGCAGCTGGGTGAATCATCTTCTGTCCTTACTTTACCTCCATCATTATTAAACCATCCCTGTCCACGCTGTCAGCTCTTCCACTCACAGTTCATTGGAGTAAGTGTGTGTACGGATGCAAGCGCATGTCTCTGTGACTGTGGATCTGCAGCTTCAGCACACACACATTTGCAAAATTACACAAGGGGCCAGTGAACAGGCAATCCTGTTAGAGTGATCTGCTTTCTGTGGAAACGTGCACCTCAGCACTTTTGGTCAGAGAACAGAGGAGGACCGACGCGTTACAGAATGCCCTGAAATCTCCCGTATGTTTCCCGCCCTGCGGTCCCAGGATATTGAACGGCTATATACGCGCTGACGCTGACATGCGGACTGAATGTACAGCTACTCGTACACTATTGATTTGTGTTACGAATGGCTAAATGACATTGATGCAATGTTACAGCAACATGCACAGCTCAGCAACATTTTTTTTAATCCCTTATCCAATTTTACAAAACGCCGCTTTCCCATATATTAAGGCATTTGCATGATTATGCAATTCTTACTGAAGACTAGTTTATCTAGACCCCAAGTGTATATAAACTTAGTCATATGTTTTTTTTTTTCTTTTATTCCATTCTCCACCTACAGACGCCTATGAGGGAAACATTGCGTGTTTGGGCCCACACACTCTCCCCTCAGAAACGCAGGCATCCCACGGTCCCATCGCGAGAGGAAAGCAAGGAAGGGAAATTACCCACAATAACCAGATGGAGCTTCCTTGAGATGGTAGATCAAAACCTGGTGCTGCTTAAATTCAGCAGAGAAGAATCTGTCACTCATTCTGACCCAAAAATTCAAACTCTGCCATCATTTTACTTAACATCATGTCATTCCGAACCTCTATGACTTTCTTTATTCAACATAAACCTAATATTACAACCTACACCTGCACAAAAGTATGTGAACAGATGAGTAAACTAAACTTTGGGGTCTGTACGTATTTATTTATTTTTTTTGCTCTCCATTATGCACGGCTCTATTTGTTGTGTTAGGAGTTACTTTACTTTCTTTACAGCCTAGTTATTTTTAGGCTGGCCTGCCTCAGCGGTCTAACAGTGCTCGTCAATGTCAAAATGATGGCCAATCAGATCAAAGAAGGCGGGGCTTACTGTTCGCTGAAGACCAGTGCCAATTCCACCGGCAAGCTTTAGTTTTTACATTGTAATATTCAAAGTCCCCCTAATTTTATCCCTTTAATTAACTAAATGACATATTTAAATGTTTTTTCATGTGAAAAATAAATACGCAAATGAGCCCTGCCTCCACTCACGCACACCAGCTCAGAAAACCCGATTCACTCGTTCAACTTTACTGTAGTAAACACTGCACAATGGCAAATGGAAATACTGGTTTAATTCAGCAGTATGTTTGAAGTGGAAGAGTGAATTATACAGGCTCTTCTATAATTTGATGATGCATCAGAAAGAAAATGCATTTTATGTATCGCTCTCTACAACGTCGGACACATAATGGTAATAAATATGATTAGCATTTTGCTTGAATACTAACGCACTAAAACACATCTAAAACATAATAAAACTATTATGTAATTTTACACAACTCTCATCAACTAAAATTAGGCATTTTGGTCAAAATTTATTATTGATGAAATGGCATGATGGAATATTGACAAAATGTAAAGGATATCTTCTTCAAAAGACAAAAACAATGACTAAGACAAAAGTAAAATAAACAAGAACCAAACGTCATTGGTTCGAGTGGGTTTAAAGGTGCAGTAAGCGATTTTTGAGAAATTTATTGAAAGTGGATCCAACCGAGCAGCACAACACACTTGTAGCCATTCAGCAGTAGAGGGTGTGTCAACTCATGATGGGGGAGGAGAGAGAGAGTGAGCCATTCAGCAGTAGGGGGCGTGTCCAATCATGATGGCGGAGGAGAGAGTGAGCCATTCAGCAGTAGGGGGCGTGTCCAATCATGATGGCGGAGGAGAGAGTGAGCCATTCAGCAGTAGGGGGCGTGTCCAATTATGATGGGGGAGGAGAGACAGAGTGAGCCAATCAGCAGTAGGGGGGTGTGTCCACTCATGATGGGGGAGGAGAGAGAGAGTGAGCCAATCAGCAGTAGGGGGCGTGTCCAATCATGATGGCAGAGGAGAGAGTGAGCCATTCAGCAGTAGGGGGCGTGTCCACTCATGATGGGGGAGGAGAGAGAGAGTGAGCCATTCAGCAGTAGGGGGCGTGTCCAATCATGATGGCAGAGGAGAGAGTGAGCCATTCAGCAGTAGGGGGCGTGTCCAATTATGATGGGGGAGGAGAGACAGAGTGAGCCAATCAGCAGTAGGGGGGTGTGTCCACTCATAATGGGGGAGGAGAGAGAGAGTGAGCCAATCAGCAGTAGGGGGGTGTGTCCAATCATGATGGGGGAGGAGAGAGAGAGTGAGCCAATCAGCAGTAGGGGGCGTGTCCAATCATGATGGCGGAGGAGAGAGAGAGTGAGCCAATCAGCAGTAGGGCGCGTGTCCAATCATGATGGCGGAGGAGAGAGTGAGCCATTCAGCAGTAGGGGGCGTGTCCAATTATGATGGGGGAGGAGAGAGAGTGAGCCAATCAGCAGTAGGGGGCGTGTCCAATTATGATGGGGGAGGAGAGACAGAGTGAGCCAATCAGCAGTAGGGGGTGTGTCCACTCATGATGGGGGAGGAGAGAGAGAGAGTGAGCCAATCAGCAGTAGGGGGCGTGTCCACTCATGATGGGGGAGGAGAGAGAGAGAGTGAGCCAATCAGCAGTAGGGGGCATGTCCACTCATGATGGGGGAGGAGAGAGAGAGAGAGAGTGAACCAATCCGCAGTAAGGGGGTGTCTCCACTCGTGATGGGGGAGGAGAGAGAGAGAGCAAGAGGGAGATTTGAAGAAAGACTGTAGAAAGAGAGATGGCTGAGACGAGACATTACAAAAGAGAAAAGGTCAGAGGAATATCACTGGAAAAAGAAAGGTTATGATCAGGCCAGAGCTTTATAGCACCCGCTTTAATATTAGAAAAGCTTTTCAGGACTTAGGTGGGACGCCGAGGTTGTGTTATTTCTGCTCCTTATGTGAGTAAGTTTGGTTTTGAGTGTGTGCTTCTGGAGACTAACAACGAACTCTTGCATGTATTTACTCTTGTGTACTGTATGTTCATTTTTTGTTCTTCCTCGTCGTTCGTTCATCATCTTCGCTTTATTTTTCGTGAAGCTTTAATTTGCTTCGCTTCTGCTATGACAGAGAGGCATCCACTCTTGCATTGTGTGTTTGTGCATTTTGGGGGCAGAGCAATGAAGGGAGGGGTGTGTTTGTTTGGGTTGATTTAAAATATCAACAGTGTTCAACAATGATTCTAAGAAATCGCTTGCTGCACCTTTAAGACCCGCCGGCAATGTGCCGACAATATGCGAAAGTGCAAATCATTTCTGTCTATTTCTCACACAAAGCTATTGTATGATTGCGGGAGATTTGGATTATAGTGCACAAGTTATTTGGACTAATTTAGAGCTCGGCAGCATTCTGTCACTATGCTTTCATTATATGAAAAAGGGCAGTGTGAATATTCATCATAATTTCATAAAGAAACAATATCATACAGGTTTGGAACAACATAAGAGCGAGTAAATGATGAAAGAGTTTTCATTTTGTGTGAACTGCTCTTGTCTGCATCTCTCTCCCTTCTGAAAATCTCTCAGTCTATTTACAAACTGGGACAATCTTCTGCTCGAGTTGATGGGAGATGTATTTTTAATACCTCTGATGCCAAGAATAGTTCTGCCAACGTATGAGTAGTGTGTTTGCTTGTGCATCTGTGTGTGTTTGATGGGTCTTACTTATTGGATTTGATTTTGACGTCTTTCCTCTTGCGGAGCTGGCTGCCATCTTTGTACCAGTTGAAGGAGGGGCTCGGGTTGCCCACGGCTTCACACTTGAGTGTCAACTTTTTACCTTCCAGGAGCCACTGAGAATCCATGGGCTTCACCTTCGGAGCTGACGCTACAGATGGAAAAAACAGACAGAGAGTGAGTGGAAAAGAAAAGAAAAGCGGGTTTCCCCATAGGACGAAAAAGCACATGTTTTTTTCCCCCCCTTTAATATCTCAGTTGTTTCTTGTAGACAGCAATGAGATGCTTCTGCTTTGATTTATGCTGATTTTAATATATCTAATATCAGGAAAAACCTCATTATCCTAAGGAATTTATGAGAAACATCTGAGACAAAAGCTTAAATTAAACATAACTGAGAACTTCAGTAAGGAGCAAACTATGTGCAATGAAGCTTTCCTTGGGGTGGAGGTCAGATTGACATGAGGAGAAGAAAGAGATATTATTGGAGAAAGAAAAGAGAAGGGAGAGAGGAAAGAGGAGGGACAGATGGAGGGAAGAAAGAGAGAAAGAAGGCAGGACAGCTAAAAATGCAGAGAAACGTGTTGAGAGACAGACGCAAACGGGAGGATGGAGAGAAGCAAATAGAAGAGTGGGAAGAAGGAAAGTGAGAAACGAAAGAGTGTGCGAGAGATTAATGGGGCTCATCTTCCAGCAGTTTACCACGGTAAAGTAATCCATCTAGCAATGAGAAACAAGCCCAATATTGTGAGCCATGTTATAACTATGAGCAGTTATAAAAATGCAGTACATTTAGTGCAGCAAATAATAATCACAGTCCACACACACAAACACACACTAATAATAATAATGCTGATACAGAGTTTATTCACTATTTTTGATTTATTTTCTTATTATTCTCAAAAGTTATTCTTATAAGACTCATTACTAACAATATTTTTACTGTGGTGTAATTTTATAATACTGTATACACTCACCTAAAGGATTATTAGCAACACCTGTTCAATTTCTCATTAATGCAATTATCTAATCAACCAATCACATGGCAGTTGCTTCAATGCATTTAGGGGTGTGGTCCTGGTCAAGACAATCTCCTGAACTCCAAACTGAATGTCAGAATGGGAAAGAAAGGTGATTTAAGCAATTTTGAGCGTGGCATGGCTGTTGGTGCCAGACGGGCCGGTCTGAGTATTTCACAATCTGCTCAGTTACTGGGATTTTCACGCACAACCATTTCTAGGGTTTACAAAGAATGGTGTGAAAAAGGAAAAACATCCAGTATGCGGCAGTCCTGTGGGCGAAAATGCCTTGTTGATGCTAGAGGTCAGAGGAGAATGGGCCGACTGATTCAAGCCGATAGAAGAGCAACTTTGACTGAAATAACCACTCGTTACAACCGAGGTATGCAGCAAAGCATTTGTGAAGCCACAACACGCATAACCTTGAGGCGGATGGGCTACAACAGCAGAAGACCCCACCGGGTACCACTCATCTCCACTACAAATAGGAAAAAGAGGCTACAATTTGCAAGAGCTCACCAAAATTGAACAGTTGAAGACTGGAAAAATGTTGCCTGGTCTGATGAGTCTCGATTTCTGTTGAGACATTCAGATGGTAGAGTCAGAGTTTGGCGTAAACAGAATGAGAACATGGATCCATCATGCCTTGTTACCACTGTGCAGGCTGGTGGTGGTGGTGTAATGGTGTGGGGGATGTTTTCTTGGCACACTTTAGGCCCCTTAGTGCCAATTGGGCATCGTTTAAATGCCACGGCCTATCTGAGCATTGTTTCTGACCATGTCCATCCCTTTATGGCCACCATGTACCCATCCTCTGATGGCTACTTCCAGCAGGATAATGCACCATGTCACAAAGCTCGAATCATTTCAAATTGGTTTCTTGAACATGACAATGAGTTCACTGTACTAAAATGGCCCCACAGTCACCAGATCTCAACCCAATAGAGCATCTTTGGGATGTGGTGGAACGGGAGCTTCGTGCCCTGGATGTGAATCCCACAAATCTCCATCAACTGCAAGATGCTATCCTATCAATATGGGCCAACATTTCTAAAGAATGCTTTCAGCACCTTGTTGAATCAATGCCACGTAGAATTAAGGCAGTTCTGAAGGCGAAAGGGGGTCAAACACAGTATTAGTATGGTGTTCCTAATAATCCTTTAGGTGAGTGTATTTATTATTTTTTAAATTTTAATTGAAATTCTGTATAATAGTTTAGAATATATTATTTATAATTTAAATATATATATTTTATATAATATATATTACATATATAATTATGTTTTATATTATTTAAAGATGTACAAGATGTATGTAATATATAACATTAAATAATATATAATATATTATGTATCTTTAAATTATATATTCTTCTAAACAATAATATATTAAAATCGCACATATTATATATATATATATATATATATATATAATTTAAAGACAAATACGAAATACCTGTAATACAATATATACTACATACTGTATATTTTATATATACTTACGTATATTTATATATACATTTATGTGTATGGAGTAATGAAAACATGAGAATTATCACTGAGAACAAAAAAATCAAAACAAACAAACAGAAAATGCTGGATGCATTATGGTAATGCATAATTCATTTTAATGCTCAATAATCTAAATGGTCCTAATATTAGGTTTCAATTTTTAATGTATAAAATTTAGCAATATATTTCCTTAGATTTTTAGATCAAATATTCTAAATAGAATCCTCATGAAATAAAGGACTTCAGTTACAGTTTTGGACTGAAAACAACATGGAATAGGTTCACCGTTTAACTGAGCGTGGCTCCATCTGTGGTTTTCTCCTTCTCTCTCTCTTTTCAGAGCAATACTTCATTCTGTCACATCCAGTGAAATCACACGTTCTTGTCTCCAGATGCTTCTGACACACATTCACACACACACACACACACTCCAAATCTTTAATACACACTTACACCTCTTGACTAAAACACATGCACATGTACAGAAGCACACACAAACATGTTTGCCTTCTGATCACATGCCTGTACGTTGTAATTCTACTCGCGTGGACTCTGGAGTGCCAGAGGAAACCTTTACATGTCCAAGAGAGACTCAGGCCTGATTGCTCTGTTAACAGAAACCCTATAGTCCTGCTCACAGACAGCACAGTGAAAAACCTCATTCTGAGTCCATCCAATCAGCTTAACTCATCAATAACAGCCAATCTGCTGCCTCGGCAACTAATAATTTACCAGGAATCTACCACTACTTCCGTGCACATCATTATTTTTTTTTAGAATTCATGTGCCTTTAATCAAAATAACTTCCCCTTCCTCTCGCAGCGACATGTCACGTTTACTGGCGTGAGGGGCGGGGCAACCTGTCACTCACATGAGATCCACCAATAGAAAACCACAACCATCCAATCAATTCTCCATGGACAAATTAAAGTCCCGCCCATTTTTTTTCAGTTCCAGAAGCCGTTTCACTTGGATATACGTCACAATAGGGAAGAAACGATGAACGCAACTTCTGTTTCATGACAACTTTAAAACTAAAACTATTCAAATCAATTGAAATAAAGCTGAAACAAAATAAGTATTAGATTAAAAGCTTAAGCTAAAAAACTTACAAATATTTCCTTGCCAACTATGTATAGCCTATAGTTTAAGGTGAAGTAAAATGACTAAAAATAAAACTGAAATAAATATAAATTAAAGAAACTTTAATAAAAAATTTTTACAAAAGGACAACAAAATCATTAAAATTTCACTAAAAAGAAAATGAAAACTGAAAAAAAAAGAAAAGTAGCTAATTCAATTTATTAATAAATACTACATAAAAATACTAAAATAACACTGCTCTGTGGCAATACCAAAACATGTTGTTTGAGTATCCCAATAAGCCACAATTAGTACATGGCATTAAGAACAAAGCTTGACTTTGTTAGAATATCTGAGGAAAGGACATGGTTATTTTCTCTTTTCTATTTGGGCTTCTGCTACTTTTTATTGAAAGGACAGTGTAAATGTGACAGGAAAAGACCCCAACCAGACTCAAACTAACCAGAGCATGTGCACTACCCATCAATCCCAGACGACAGGCACTGTATAGCAGGAGTTTCTTTCTTATAAATCACTATCAGTAACCCAAAGTGGAAGTATTGGGGACAAATGTCCAAAAAAAGAAAGAATAAGAGGCGTTTCATGTTCATCATGGAGTTGATTTCTGCTTGATCAGTAAATCCAAGTATAAACACAAAGGCCCGAACGCACACACTGATAACAGTGACAGCTCACATGAAAGATTGTCTTTTCCTCTCTCGGCCCAACGCTCTTTCTACTCGCTTTGATAGTCCTGGAAGTCTTTTATTAGAAATAGTATTTCCGTCCCTCGTTCCGCTCTCTCTTCCTTCTTCCACAGAAACAAGGCCTATGAGATGAAACCGACTGTCTGTCTACAACAAGATCAGACCTCTTTCTGCAAACGTTAAGGGAAAAGAGCTGTCTCTCCCTTTCAAAACTTTAACTTATCAAGCATGGGAACTTATAATCAAAATTGGGGGATCGAGACGTTAAAATTTTATAATCTGATTTAATCTAAAGTTTTCTTTTTGAAGAAGTCTCTTATGCTGAACAAAGCTGCATTCAAAAACAGTAATATTATGAAATATTATTACATTTTAAAATTCAAATTTAAAATTTAAATTTGTTTTCAGTGTCACGTGATCCTTGCTCAGGAAAAATTGTTGTGCTGCCCTATTTTTTTGTGGAAACTGAGACACATTCTATCAGGATACTTTGATGAGTAGAAAGTTCAAAAGAACAGCATTTATCTTCTGTAACATTTTAAATGTTTTTATTGTCATTTATTATATTATCATCTTTTAAATGATTTAATGCATCCTTGCTAAATGGAAGTAGTGGTTTTTCTAAATGCAATGCAATTGTTTTATTTGATGTAACAAATGTCAGTGAATCACAAAAATCGCAACAGCCAACGAAAGAAAAGATTATTATTATCAATCAAAATTACATTTTCAATGACCAATTCTTAAAATTGAAAATATATACTTTTAATGAAATAATGGCTTTAGAAAAATGCCTGACACAAGGCTAATGTAAGAGTCTAACATCACCAA